ACTTGTTGAGAGCAATTGAAGCTAAGTTGCATACAGCAACTTCATCAGGGTCGGTGTACTCAATGATCTCCGTGCACAAGTTCGAAGAACGAATTGTACCAAGATTCTGCTGATTGCTCTTAAGGTTGCATGCATCTTTGTAAAGCATGTACGGGGTACCCGTCTCAATCTGAGCTTCAAGAATGGCGAACCAAATCTTTCGGGCCGGTACCACTTCTCGGGCCCGACCCTCCTCTTCATACTTGTGGTACAACTCATCAAAAGCCTCACCAAATACATCAGCGAGCCCGGGAGCCTCATTCGGACAGAACAAGCTCCACGGTTGGTCGTTTTCAACCTTCCTCATGAACAAGTCAGAAACCCAGAGCCCATAGAACAAATCGCGGGCTCTCTGTTCTTCTTTGCCGTGGTTCTTGCGAAGGTCCAAGAAATCCATAATGTCGGCGTGCCACGGTTCCAGGTAGATTGCAAAAGCGCCCTTCCGTTTTCCACCTCCCTGATCAACGTATCTGGCAGTGTCATTGAAGACACGCAGCATCGGTACGATACCATTAGAAGTACCATTGGTACCTCTGATGTAAGACCTGGTTGCACGTATGTTATGAATCGATAGACCGATGCCACCTGCTGACTTGGAAATCACAGCGCAGCGCTTCAGAGTATCGTAGATGCCTTCAATTGAGTCTTCGGTCATGGTGAGCAAAAAGCACGACGACAGCTGCGGGCGACAGGTACCAGCGTTGAAAAGAGTGGGAGAAGCATGGGTGAAGAACTTGTTAGACATTGCATCATATGTCTCCAACACAGCCTCAAGGTCTCCCAAGTGAATTCCAACAGCGACACGCATAAGCATGTGTTGCGGACGCTCCACAATCTTGCGATCGATACGAAGTAAATAAGACCTCTCCAAAGTCTTGAAGCCAAAGTAGTCATATGAAAAGTCACGGTCGTAGATGATAGCGTCATCAAGTGTATCACGATTGTCCACAACGAATTGGTAAACGTCCTTTGCAATGAGCGGGGCGGCGGTGTTAGTGAGTGGCAAAGTGTAATTGTAGAGCATGTCGATGGTCTCTGAAAAGCTCTTGACAGTGTTCTTGTGGAGATTGGACACGGCTATACGGGAGGCCAGAAGGGAATAGTCGTGATGTTTTGTGGACATGTATGCAGCTGTTTCAGCGGCAAGGTCGTCAAGCTCAGAAGTTGTGACGCCGTCGTAAACACCGGCGCATACCTTCTGAGCTACTTCTGTTACATCGACGATGGGGTCGAGCCCGTAGGCCAGTTTCTTGATTCTAGCAGTGATCTTGTCGAACTTGACAGGCTGACGTCTGCCGTCGCGCTTAATTACCTGGCGTTCCATTGCGTAGGACTGATGCAATGCTGTGCAAATAGTCTGAGCAGGAGTTCGTACTGAGAACGGAAGAAGTTGCAACGAGGAAAGTGCACGGTGTAGAGGGAAGAAGAGTAGAACGAAGGTAGTCGGGAAGACGCAGCTCTTATGGAATGAATGTCTGGCCGGCAGAGCTGGAACTGAAGGGGTGGCCGATTAAGTGTTGAGTGCAGAGTTGCGATCAGCGTCCGCACGGAGTTGCACTTGGCGTTTCGGTTCGAAATGAGCTTTGGCGGGAAACCGCCCCGCTGGTTGCTGAGCTCCTGCACGGCGCGAATCAACTTTCGCGTATCATTTGTACGGAAGCAAAAGAATTAATTTGACCCCAATTTCTTTCTTCCAGTTATTTACAGATACGCGCCGTGTCCTGATCTACGTACGCATTTCAGCATCGGCTGCGGCGGCGGAATACGGGTTGATGCCCCTTTTGTAAGAGTGTGAGAGACGTTCCGAGGATAGCCATGTGCATATCTTAAACTGGGAACGGATGTGCTCGGGGTAACGAAGGAGCTCTAAGCGAATTACAGGATATCGAAAATCTTCCCGGTATGGGATCTCGCCGCGCGCGCCGAGCTCACGGAAGGGTCCAGCCTGTGCACTCTCCAAAGAAGGCTGGGCCCACCGCAGCAATTTCTAAAACGCAGCGCAAGAAAGCACGCAGAAGTCAGCTGAGAAACGAAATCATTAGCGCGGCAAAGGCTGCGAGAAAGGCAAAGCGGACTCAGCCCCCACTGTTGTTGGCCGTTGTATCTGTGTGCGGAGCTCGGGATGAAGAAATGCGCGCGTTATGTAACACCGTTCATGCAACTGAGACCGAAAAGTCGGTACAGCCCTTCGAAACATGCATCTTATCCCGAGAGGGAAAGAATGAACGGCAAGTACTTTTAGCGGCTCTTGACTTGGCCAAAGTTGCGGATATCATGCTGCTGGTTTTTGCGGGTCGTGCAGATATGGATATACAGAGCATCGAATTGCTTAGAGCTTTAAGAGCTCAAGGAATGCCCTCAATTCACGTCATGGCTATTGGCGATGGTGCCGAAGACCCAGCACTCCGAAAGTTGCGAGGTCGACAATTGGCAGCTGAGAGTCTCGGTGAGGACCATGCATTGCGACCCATTCAGTTCTGGCCCCAAGCGAAATCTGAGAAGGCTACGAACAATAAGTCTGCTCTGCGCCGTATATTTGCAAAGCCCCCTCGAGTAGTAAGCTGGCGTTCGCGATATGGATACATGAAAGTTGAGTCAGCGTTGGTGAACAATGCGTCTTCAGAAGCAGCTGCTTCTCTTTCATTATGTGGCTACATTCGTGGCAGAGGTATGTCTGCCAATGAACTGGTACATGTCACTGGTTTTGGTACCTACGCAGTCGCTAAAATATTGGACTGTGCTACGGGCACAGTCCTCAGCCAGCGTGACGAACATCAAGGCGAACCCGTTGAAAGCGTTGGTGAAGTAGACGAGATGATGGGCGAACAAACCTGGCCTCCAGAAGTCATAGGAGATGAGGAAGTAGACGAAGATGAAAACGACACAGAAAAACTGGCAAAGCAATATGATCAGTCTTTGGAGGCTGAAGAACGTGCGGAAAAGCAGATGGAACAAGAACAGTTTATGATGGATGAAACGGAGGAAGATAAACTTAGTGATATGGATGAAGAAAAAATGATCGTAGATGAGGAGGAGGTGCATCGGTTACGAGACGCTGCGAAGGAGGATTCACAATTCCCGGACGAAGTTGATGTACCTGTTAATCGCCCTGCGCGCGTGCGCTTCGCAAAATACAGAGGTTTGAAATCACTGCGCACTGGAGAATGGGATCCTAAAGAACAGCTTCCTATCGATTATGCTAATCTGTTTCAATTCCGAAACCTGCCAGCCACACGCAAGCGAGTGCTGGACAGCGCAAAAGAAGAAGGGGAAAAGGCGAAAGCAGGTAACTGTGAAAATTTTGTTCCGTGTGGAAGGAAGGTATACATTCAACTACAGGATGTTCCGCAAGATGTGCAAGCCAGCATTATAGTAACGTTGCAAAGTAACCAGACGCCCGTAGTGGCTTCCGGGATGTTGCGGCATGAAAACCGAAGAAGCGTTGTGCACTTTGGGGTTCAGCGAGTTGATGACGAAGAGGATGGGCAAGCGATCAAGGCAAAAACACCTTTGGAGATGCACTGTGGGTTTGTTCGATTTGAAGGACGACCGATGTTTTCTGAGAATAATCCCAATTCGGATAAGCATAAAATGGAACGGTTCTTGAGACATGGGAGGTATACTGTGGTTTCTTTCTACGGACCTGCGATCTACGCACCGGCGCCTGCGCTATTGTGTCATCGTAATGGATCGGTGATTGCTGCCGGAAGTGCGCTTGGAGCGGATGTAGACCGTATTATATTGAAGAGAATTGTTTTCACGGGGTATCCGTTCAAGACGCAAAAACGACGGTCGGTTGTTCGGTTTATGTTCTTCAATGCGGATGATATACGATGGTTTAAGCCGGTGGAACTCTGGACAAAACTGGGAAGATCGGGCCATATCCTTGAACCGGTTGGTACACACGGACACATGAAATGTATTTTTGACAATGTGGTGTTGCACCATGATACGATCTGTATGACTTTGTACAAGCGAGTTTACCCAAAACTGTTGGAATGATGTGTTTTTGTGTGGTTATATGTAGATTTTGAAAGATGGCTCTGTTATTTTGTAGCGATTGGTTGAGGAATTAAGTTGCCATTTGCCTTGTTGTTTGACGAGCTTTAGAGTGCCATCTACGTCTGGTGCGTAACCTGTTTGCAAGTTGTTTAAGTCGATTATTGTATCGGCCATGTCGGCTAGGGTTGCTATTTGACGATCTATTCCACAGTGCACGGGCGCTGATAACATGACTGAGAGACCTTTTTGCATGGTGGTGAGTGTCTTGATGAATGGAAGAATGTCAACTGCAAAAACGGTCTGCAGGGCGTGAACACATTCCACGACGATGACCTTTGCAGAAGATGTTTTGGCGGCAGCGGAAACGAAACGGAGAAACTGCTTTGTTGATTGTGCTGATGATTGCTTTTCGTGGGGATGTTCGAAGAAGGTGTAGGGATCACAGGGTGTGCTGTGGGCGAAGGCGATTTGAGTTGAGCGCGTTAAAAAGGGGAAGAGACATGTTTTGGAAGTGGGGGGGATTTGAGCACGTGAATTGGTTGTGAGGAAGAGAATTTCTGGCGGGGAAAGATGTTTTGAAAGAGATAGGACACGAACTAGATGGTGAAGAAGGGGTAGTGCATCGGCTGCATCTGTTGCATCGCGGATTAAAGTTACGTTTTTGGCGCTGAGAATTGATGGCCAGTGAAGGAGTTGAAGCGTTTTTGTGCTCAGCTTTTGTTGGGGAGCTTCCATTTCGGTGTTGGTTTGCTGTGTATTGGGGGGGGGAAATGCGGGGAGACGGTATAAAGGTATTGTCTTGGTACGTTCGAATAGAAGACTTTGTTTTGATGTCGTTGATGACTGAAATACATCCTCGGGGGAGGACTTCGACCATGCCGTAGGTTCTGCCTTTGAAATTCAGCAGGATCACGCTTGGAATAATAACAATTTTGAGCAACACGCAGTCAAGAGCGGATGCTTCCGTAGCTCAGTTGGTTAGAGCGCTAGCCTCACATGCTAGAGGTCCCGAGTTCGACCCTCGGCGGGAGTAGGATCGCTTGCAACAGCCTTTTTTTTGAAGCTGAAGAAAGGAGAAGAGGTTGGCAGTTGCTGCAACCGTTGTACATGCCACCACAACCAAGCATAACCTTTTTACTTGCTGGCATTGATCCGGCCCGTGTAGCGAGCAAGCGAAAGGAACTACGAGTGTAGAGTGAGTTCAGAACTGTTGACCGGGCGTGCTCGCGCGAATCGCAATCGCCATGCCCTCACAGCAACCGCAACCCACGCACGCGACGCCGCAAGCGCGCATGCTCACACCCGCACAACAGCAGCAGCTTTCTATTGCACAACAGCAACAACTCTCCGCCGCACAACAGCAGCTCTCTGTCGCACAGCAGCAACAACTTTCCGCCGCACAACAACAGCTCTCTGTCGCACAGCAGCAACGAATATCCGCCGCCCAGCAGCAGCTGCAACAACATCAGCAACATCAACAACTTCAACAACTTCAACAACTTCAACAACATCAACAACATCAACAACATCAACAACATCAACAACTTCAACAACTTCAGCAACATGAACAACATCAACAACATCAACAACATCAACAACATCAGCAACATCAGCAACATCAGCAACATCAGCAACACCAGCAACACCAGCAACACCAGCAGCAGCAACAGCAACAGCAGCAACAGCAACAGCAGCAACAGCAACAGCAACAGCAACAGCAACAACAACAACAGCAACAACAACAACAGCAACAACAACAACAGCAGCAGCTGCCGCCCCGCCATCACTCTCAATCCGTTGCCATTCTCCGTCTCGTCAACGAGCTCAAGAAGTCTACTAATGAGTTTCTCAACAAAATGTAAGCTCCGCATCTCTCAATTGTTTCATACCCCATCGTCATGTTCACTAAGCTAACCGCGTCCATCTCCATCGCCAGCGATTCCGCTCTCTACGTACCATACGATGCTGCGCGAGCTCGTCATGATTTTGAAACTATCAATGCCATGGTGCTCAATCTGGACAAGATCATGGAAGAACGCGATATCATGCATATGCGTGAACGTGATTTCATCGGTCCTGGAAAGACAAACGGCTCTACCGTAGAAGAGCTTATGGATCGTGCTGGAAAGCAGAAGAACGAGGTGGATGCTCAGTTTCACAAACTTGCGTCGGCTGTCGCTTCTGCCGCAAATGCTGCCGCTGCCACTTCTCGCTGGCGGGTGTAGCCGTTCAGTGTTCTTTGTGCTATCCGTTGCGATACTTTCATTTCTGCCGAGTACTTATTGCAACGCTTTCTCGTCATTGCGAACCTTTTCGCTTCGTGCGTTCGTGTACGATATCTGTTCAGAGCGGAGAACTACCCTCTAGACAACATACCTTTCAACTCTCTCATAGCCTGCATTATCCGAAGTTGATCCTAAATGGCCACCAAGCGCACGCACAGTGAAATGCAAGACGCTTCTCCATCCTCCCCTCGTCAAAATGCAGGAAAGTCGATCTCTAAGCATACCCCTCTGTCTCCTCAACTTTCTCAACTACTCCACACTGCCTGTCGTCTAGCCGCCGCACATCCGAAAGCAATGTCATTTCTATCGAGTTCCATTCGCTCCATGTATGATAACCTATGTGCTATTTGTAGGGATACGGGATGTGTTCCGCCGGATGTTGAAGATATCTTGCACACCATTGACACTGCACGGTCGATACCGCCATTACAACCTAGTCCGCAACTGAACAATCGCGTGAAGTTTCTCGAAGAAGCTTGTGAGGATCGGGATGTTTCCACCTTTTCTAAGAAACATTTGTTGAAGGAGTATAGAATATCCAACAATGGCGTTGAAATGGTTGATGCTGTTCAGCTGAACAATCTGTTTGATGATGATGTTGATGATATGAATGTGCTTGTAGATTCGGGCGATGTAGAACAAATTGGTATCAAATTGAATGCTGATCATAAGTTATTTCTTGGTGAACGACTTGGTATACCTATTCGCGATCAACGAACATCTGAAAACCCGCGAGCTGTTTTGTGTGACTTGACTGGAGACATCATCGGAGAGCAGGTTGAAGTGTTTTCGGTGGCTGATCAGACTTGGAGAAGTGCTGTTGTGTCCTATAAGTTGCCTGATGGAAGACATGTGCTTGTGTATTTTGATGGGGTCGTAGAACGGGTCATGTTGCGCGAGAAGCTCTGGCGTCCGGTTGCATAGCGTGCAGCGCTTTTTGATTGTTCTCTTTGCTTGGGTTCTTTTTGACGTTCTCTGTATTTACGCGGCGTAAGCTCTGAACCAGCTAGTTTTACCACTGTGATTGACGAGCGTGGTCTGTGGACCTGAAAATAGGAAACACTTCGAGACAAATGCATTTCGGGATATGGAATTACCATCGGCAGCTTTTGCGTCTTTCTCGGACATTTACCCACCTGGTATTCGTAGAAAGGTATCTTGTTCACTTTACGAGCAAGTTACAGAGGTATGGCCATGACATACGTTAATTGAGGATCGGAACCAAGTCTTTCTATACAGTTCGGTTGGGTGGCTTTTTCTTGGTACCAATCGGTCCGATTTTTGGACTCTTTTCTTAAAGCTGGTGGGTTTTCGTGTTTGGGACACTAAGAACACAGAGACGTGGTATCTCGTATCCGCTCCCGTTCATTTCCCGTCTCGATGTTGTGAAGTCTACTGTTTTTTTGATAGCACAGCTACATCCATATATATATGTGGAAGTAAACATTCTATGGTTCAATTCCGTCATCGAGGCCTCCTTCCAGCCAAGATGTTCTGTACACAACCTATATTAAGGTCACCGCAGTACATGCGCATGAAGCTCTGATTATCTGCGAATTGATCTAAAAAGTTTCGAAAAGCATTGACGTCGGAGTCAAACGTTGGTGTTCCACATATTCAAGGGAAATGAACCCTAGGGGGAGGGTGCTCGCTACTTCATGCCAGTGCACAAGACAATGGAGAAAGGCATGGGAGCAGGGCGACCCTTTGGGTGTTCTTTTCCCTCAATATGTCTTTCTTGTACGTCTTCTCCTTCTCAGAGAATATCAGAACCGTTGGAACCGCTTTTACAAGTACAAGGTTTCGGTTGGGCCATAAGACCAGTGTTACCTTTGATTTCTTGATAATCAGTGCAGGGCTTCACGAAATGCTATCGCAAAACATATTCCCTATCTATCATTGCTCGCCATGTTCAGCCAGGAAAAGTGCAAGAGAATTGGCCCTCGAGTTGCAAGGACAACCAGGGCAAAGGCCCATGTACGTTCCGGCCCTCTTGAAGATTAGAGAATTTCTGTAGAAGGTCGGACTGATTGAGGAATTGTGTTCTAATATCACATATGCATATATTACATATGCTCGGCTTGAGAGCTGTTGTATATATGATATATCCAATAGCCCAGCCGCAAACGATTCGGAAAGGGGCGTTGGCTCGTACAGATCTCTGAACCAACCAGACTCAAAGCAATGTGCTATTGTGGAAGTCGCTTTGTCATTCTTCGTCTTGAGTATCAGAAGTACATCAGCAAAGGTCCTACCTTACGCATGTCCGACTTCGATGCCGTAATCCTCGTCCCTTGGAATATATTCTTCTTGTTAGATGATTACATTACTACCGTATGGTCCTATTTAGGACATAAAACACGCCCAAACACAAGAAGATTTGCGTGTGTCAAACTCTTCGTCATAGGATGGGGCAACAAGAAAATTACCGTATCATTGTGGAGATGTACGGGAAAGAGTACCTTTCTTCCGGTGGAAAATGCATATCCATGGCCCGTACATGTCGCAATTCGTAAGGGATACGAAGGTACACCTTTTCTATAATAATCATTGAGCACCATCACATAGTACATATGAATTCAATGGCTCCATGAAAAAGTTTCGTGAAAAGAACGCTCAGTCTCATTGCCGACATAGGTTGCGGATACCGTTTGATATAGAAACTTTCCACTGAGAACAAGTTTGACGAGGGGATCAGCGAATTCTTGTTCAATCTCTGCCTGCAACGATGAGCGCCGCATCACACAGTGTAAAAAAACGGTTTTCGACCTTGACGACAAGGGAGAAAACAATTGAAACCTATATATCTGCTAACTACGTGATGGAGAAAAAGGCTCTATTGAGGGAAAAAGCCTCTTTAAAGAGAGCGCTGGAATTTCTGCACACTGGAAAGGCTGCATGGACTCAAGTAACGAAGACGCAACTAGACTTCAATGAGCATATTCTCGCTGAGAGTGATATGTCATCCATCGTGCATGAAGTAGCTAAGAAAGAAGCAAATAGCATGCGAAATCTACACTCGGAAGCACATGATGCCTTTTTATCCAAAAGTCCATCTCTGGTTGTCGACAAAGAAGTACGGGAATATCTTAAAGAACTCGAGGATATTGAAAAGCATTTCAAAGATGTCGAAGCTAGCTTTAGTGAAGTGATGAGATATGAAAAGAAGGTTGACAAACTGAAATCGAAGTCGAAAACGGGCGAAAAGATTAAGAGAAACATTGACAAGATGGCGGCTAATCGTGCTGAGCATGACGCCAAGCTCAATTCGGTTGTTCCAAAGATGAAAGCTGCTCGTGAGAGATTCGATAGTATGCTTGGAAAAGTTCAGTATACTTTCTGGATGAGTCAGGACAAGTACTCTCAACTCGTCAACCCCCATACAGAATCAATGACGCATGCAGTCGCTGCGGCAAAAGATGAGAACACTGCGTTGGCGGTTTCAGAGTAAATGAACTTGAGATCCTCAAATCCATGCGTTACCAGGTGTTGGTCGTAGGATAACGGTTGGCTTGGTTGCTCAAGAGAGACTTCTCTGCAACATCTGTTTGAAGGTCGCTATGGCGTGTTTTACCTAGGAATTCTATTTTGCGTTTAGGGGAATCCAGTTGTGTTTCCGATCTCAACCACAGTCTTTGTTAGAGGCTTTCACTCCAGTGGCTTTTAAACCATACTCACATTTTACAGAAGCTCCACAAGCTTCATGGATGTGATTGTTGGCCACTCTCGCTCTTCTTGAGGTTTGCTG